GCTGCTATTTGAGAAATGTAAAAAAAGTAAAACTAAAGTAAACAAACAAAACAAAACATGGTGATAAGTGTGTATTTGCGGTGATAACACGCTCTTAAATCGCATACAGGTAATAGTATTCTTCCTCCTTGTCAACGAGGGCCTAACCAGTTGAGTAAGTTTGTAAAAACATCTTTGTCACAAACACATTTAGGCGAGATTGAGAAATATTACCGGTAAAAGTGATCATACTTTAACTTATATGAATCCACAGATTAATCAGGATGAAGAAAAAAACGGTTAAGCACACATGTTGGATACATAAAACTTGTCACTGTGACGTAAACGTGTTGCTTATACATACATAGCCTTGCCTTTGTTTACTTAACAACCACACAGAACGGGGTGTCAGACGACCTGGTGTATTATACACAAACCTGTCGATACAGGTAGTGTCTTCCTATTAGGTTACCGTGTTAATATACAGCTGTATAATCATGACTGTGAGCGAGGACATAATGATACAATTGACCTAAATAACTCCATAGTAAGTTAACCGGAACTATGACACTCAAACGTGTGGCTTCACTTGTACAATGTACCTGTAAGGTGTTAAAGGCATACACAACATATTTCAACAGATGTCGAGCAACGTACATTGTCACATATATGTGTAACCGAAGGGTTGTGAAACAGACATCATCCTACCTTTACATTTCCTTGTCTGTGTAGGGTATGGTATCACCTTGGACATTCTAAACTGTAGCTTGATCTGGCAGCTGTCATGTTTATGTACAAGTTATACAATATATTAATCATTTTGTACTCCATAATAATTAAATACGATCTGAAGATATTTTAAACCTATTTTCGTTGACATTGCTTGAATATTTATTGTTAAATGTGACGTCCTTTCTTGTGAACTGGCTAGAAAATGTTAAACGCATGTCATTTTCTGTATGTTGTAATGAACTGATATCGTTGTATTTAACAAATACTGGTCTTTTTGAGTAGTGTGTATTTGTGAATAAGCACTGTGGTGAATATCATATAACACAGTGTGCACGATGTATTCATAAAACAGGTTCTATAACGATAGCTCCCACAAGTAAACATGATCCTTATATGTTGTACATAAACTTCAGCAAGTTATAATTACCCTCAGACAGTAAAAATAACCGTAACAAAGTGAAAATAACCCTTCGATAGCACAAGTATGATGGCTTAAACCTCGGGTAATGTCGATTACAATAAGATAGCGTCCATGACCTTTGTTAGGGTAATTCCCTCAAATGGTTAACACTATTATAATCATATAGTGCAAAAAAACTCAGAGATAAACTTATGAATAACATTCAGATAGTGTACATGATCTTTGCGAAAGGGTACATAACTTTGCAGATAGTTTACATAGTCATTAAGAAGGTGTTCATTACTCTTCAAAAATTGTACACAACCCTTCATACAGTACATAACCGATCAGAAACAATGTATATAACCCGTCATAACCATTAACTCTGTTCATACCCTTGTTTGTCGTGTACAAACGAAGAACAAACGTGCGATCTGATCTCCGTTGTCGTGTAAACACGACAAAATAATATCCCGTCTCAACCCCTTTATCGTGCACACACGACAAGATACTTTTTTTCCAACTTTCCCGCAATATGTTGTGTTTGGTAGTCACTCATTTAAACCACATGGCCGCGAGATAATTTCATGCGAATGGTCATAAATCAAGCACCAAAAAATTATAAAGATTACTGCAAGTATTCTCTTGGATTTTTCTGTGTACTGCTCTTCTGATCATAATCATGATTCTAAGATTTTGTAAGATAATTTATATGATTGGTAGAAGCATGGGTACTAAAGGCATTTAAAACTCGTATGAACATATGTCCGTAGCAATATTACCAAGTTGAATGTTGATATACAATTTCGACACGAGTTTATAAGGCAGATAATTACGTAATTTTGACTTCTTTTTCCAACAAAAAGCTAATAATTTAATTTGCAAGCATATAATATCAGTACAACGTATATAGATGTAAACAAATAATATCAGTTAATGTATGCAAACAAATACAATAAGTACATGAATGTTAACAAATACAATAAGTAAATGAATGTAAATATATACAATCAGGTAATGTACGTAAACACAAAGTATAAGTAATTGTGTATGAACAATCATTTTCAGTAAATATAGTAAAACAAATACTATCAATAAATGTATTTAAACAAATAATACCAGTAAATATATAAAATCAGGTAATGTAAGTAAATAAATAATAATAGCAATTGATAAAAACAAATCAGTCATATCAGTAAAAACACACGCGTGGCTTTTACAGTACTTAAACCATACAAACTAACTTGACAACCAAATGATCATCAATGTAAAAAAGTAATAACACGAAATTCTAGCCTTTCTGGTCCACTGGCTTCAGATGACAAATCAATTCCCTTATAGATATGAATGGCAAATGTGATGTAGCATTTTTGTGTTTTTTATTTTTTAACACTCGTGTTTCATTACAAGGCTAAATATAGACGGGATGCATGTGGATGCACTTATTATTAATTTAATACGTAAGAGTATAATTTTATAACAATATTTTTAACTGATATAAAACATTTTTATTGTACATACGTTTCGGTCAAGCGTCCATTAAGCATACATTTATCTGAAAACAATTATGAAACACATTTTCCAAATTATATATATATCAATCATTCTTTTCTAGTAACTAGTTCGGATAACTAACAACGCAAAAAAACGTATACCGTCACTTCGGAATATAGGTCTGTCTCTCCTAACAATACACCAACGACTGTCCTACTATGAAATCAATATAGAATGGCAGTTATATGGCGCTTTGTTGTTGGACAATGCTTACAGTAGTATATAGAGCGTTGGCCATCAATAGAATAATTTAAATAGTAACAAAAGACCACCTATTTTAATTTCATTCCATCAGTCGGTTGAATCTACCGTGAAACATGCAGAACGAAGTAATTGTTCCCTTTCAAGCGTTTTTTTTATCTTATCTCTCGATTTAAAACATCAATAAAACAGACCGAACATAGTCGCTAACATCCGTCAGATGTAATGGTCATAAATGACGGCATAAATAAAATAGGAGATGGATGTCACGATGCCCTCACGGTCTTGTGTATTGAAATACTCCGGAACAGGATAACTCAACAATTTAAATTCAAATTAACAACACTTTAATAAATCAACAAAAAAGCTAAGTTCCATCACAACAACTGCCTTGGCAAACCGGAAAAAATACAACCGTGATTACAATAGGTTGCCGTATTAAGGTACAAATAACAGTACACTCATTTTACATAGTAACCGTATGTTACAGCCCGAGATATGTACCAAGTAATAACCGTCTACGACAATACACACACGTAATACACAAGTTCCCGTTTCCACCATAGAGCTCACTTGACTAGTCTTCTATAATTTTGAAGTTCCAGTTTTACCCTAAAGTTCATGTTTCAATAATAACTGCATACTCTGTATTAATTAACAGTAATCACTGTGTAATCGTAAAAGTTCTTCCTTCAGTTCCCTAGAGATGATAAGGCAAGCATATAAGGTTCAGGGCCATACAGTAGTTTCACGTATGATAATACAGGATACTAGAGAAACAGTTTAGAGTTCCAAGATATCATCATAGCCTTAGTATAAACATGTAGCAGTTACAACACAGTCTATAGTTCCAAGTCCCTGATTTCCCTGGTTTAACACAGTCACCTTAAGCACTGACATTATAGTGTTGCACAGGAGGTACGACGACAACATATGCTGCAATGTGCGGTTCTGTGAAGTTCCTTGTGTCTAACTGGGGCGAGTACCGGTGTTCTGCTGAACAGCCTGACGAAGGTCAAGGTCCTCTACCCTGATGTAGTTAAATCCACCCTATCCATAATGCCGGTCTCTCTCAGCTATAGTACATCTTCATCTTTTAACATCCTGATCAGGCGTCCCTACAGAGGCCTAGCCCACAAACACTCTATAACTATACATGTCTAACAGTCTCCAATGTAAACACACAACGAAAACCTGCTTCCGGTAATGTAATTATATTTCCGGTCTACAAAATTACCCCTGCAAGCTTATTTTACCCCTTTTATCGCTAACATGAATATTTACACACAACCGGTAAACTAATACCTAGTTTAAAGAGTTATTTACTCAATAAAACCCTACATAATGAAACTTGACCGCTAATACCTCCATACAGCGTGTTTTGCTAGCTTTTTTCTGTAGAGCACATGTTACAAACATTACCGTAGCTCTCAAATGAATATCACGTTATTCTGCACAAAATTTGACAGTTGTATACACCTATAGTAAAATTGTACGGTGTTTTAAAAAAATATCAACACTCACCCTTACGGTGCAAATTAACTCGAATTTTCCCCACAATCTCAAGAACACCACCTTCCTGGCTAATGTCGCCTCAGTTCTCCGTGCGGTTGACTGTTACGTCACGAGAACCCGTATGTTAGGTAATAACCGCGAGAAAACCCAGCTTATAAATCCTGTCATACCTTGACAATGGAAATGAGACCTTGATAATAATATAGAATAAATATGAGGAGTTCCAAAACGTAAGGTTTGGTAGGTTTTCCAATTTGTACTTTGAATAATTCCAAATGGATACATGGTAACTTTGGCCAAAGATTGAAACTGCAATAAAACAGCATCATCGTATTGTGCCGAAACACATTAGAAATTAACTAGTATCAGTAAAGGTCAATTCAGTAAAGAATTGTAATCATAGAGAGGAAGATATTTAAATATGGTATTAGATTTTGGACAGAGGATGGCACAATAGTTTCCAACATAAACAAGGACCACACGTTTTTTAAGGAAATTCCTTGGAATGGTTTCGAAACTGTCATTTCGATTAATAGAGGTTAATGACAGAGGGATGTTGCTAGCAATTGCTAACAAAATTACATCAAAGAGTGTTAACATGAATATTTAATATTTTACAGTCCAAACGTTGGTTAGTATGCTACACTGATGATGGATTCCAAGACGATGTGTGATTTCAAAAGATAATCTCCAACAAGTTTGCAAAACGCTAAATTGAAACAATGGCAGAAGACGAGGGAGGAGTGAGTATGAAACTATCCCAGTGATTGAAAACAATATTCATCTATAAAATCTTTAAACCACTGTATATATCGGCGTGTATTTATATTCCTGTTCACTCTGGTAAGGTATGAAAGGAACACAGAAAACATATTTAATGACGTACTGGTAACAAATTGCAACATGGCCAATTTGGTAAGGAACGCAAATCCAGGCCTTATCATCGATACAGAAATTCTTATAATACCTATTTTAGTTTCTTAATATCATTAAATAGAACATAATTGTTTATTCATTTTTCTAAATATATTAACACTTATACAAATAGCAATGCCTTGTAAAGTAAAGAACCGTCTGTGTAAGCATAAAAACAATACAGTATATGACGTATCGTATACCGAAAAGTTGCCAGTACCAAAAGCATAGTACACACCCTTTCTGGTAATATCAAACCCTTCGCACATTGCTGTATGTCTTAAATCCTGAAGATCATGCTTTATGTTTCTAACCTATATGTATAAGGCGATGCACTCTGTCTTAAAACCTATTGGCCATGCTTGATGTTTCTTACCCATATCCTGCCTCAAAATCTTCATATAATGCATTATATATGCCCCCCTTCAGAACATACACTTTGCCCTAAACCTTTCAAGCTTTGCAATTCGCCACAAACCTACTATAGTACTTACTATAAAAGATGCAAATTATCCACACAAAAATGTCCACTACTTTAAAAATACGTAAGTGGATGATGTTTCACTTAATTCTAATGTTTCATGTTTATTTCATTATAATTACAAAACTAACTAATTTGTTATATACTCTGTTGTTTTAAAAATATTTGTTCTGTTCACTGAAGGGATCGCGACCGCATGGGAAAAAAGCAACACAACAGGACCACATAGGCCTTTCAACTACCCCTAGTGCAAAAGTGACAAAGACATTGTCTAGTGATGTGAAGCTTAAAGAATATGTATTGGTAAGAAAACGTAGTAGAACACATTGTTGAAATACTAAATTTCTTAAAATATCTCGATTTTTAGTTCATCTTGCCCGAAGGGCCAAGTGAGCTTATAGCGTGGGGCGTCGTCCGTCCGTTGCTCGGCGTCCCGCGTCAATATTTTACTTAAAGCAACTTCTTCTTAATAACATTTAATACCCTACAAGGCTTTTTGCCTAGGGTGATGCTATTTTGCCAGAAGCAAGCGAGGATGAAGAGTTACCAAGTTTGTTTAAATGAATGACATTCGCCCATATAAAAGGTCACATGGGTCAATTGTCTCAAAACACTGTTTAACGACTTCTTTTGAGTAACCAAATTGTACAGAGTGATGACTTTTGGCTAGTGATATGTAGGCATGCAGCGCTACCAAGTTTGTTCGAATGAAAGACATTTACATATAGTCAAGGTCACAGGGGTCAATTGTCTTAAAAAAACCCTTAAAACAACTTAAACAATCAAAAGGTCCAGGGTGATGATATTTGGCTAGCAACATGCTTGGATAAAGGGCCAATAATTTTGTTCAAATAAATGACCTTCAACCATAATCAAGGTTACAGGGGTCACATTTGTTGCAAAAAATAAACACTTAATAACAAAATTGCTGTAACACAGTAGCCGTAAACACACGTAATACTTAGTAACAACCATTGTTTATTCATGGTTTTTAATCACAGTCACATTTCAGGTCCATGTACAGGTGGTAACAACATCTCATTCTATTCCTTTTGCTGGTCAAAAACATACCCCCCTCTCTCAATCAATTTGTAGCTATCTCTAATTACCAGTTTGTGCAGATGTAGGCAGTTGTTTTAGTATTCAACATCAACGTAACCCCTTACACTAATATTAACCGAGAGATGGGTAGTGTTCATTATATATGGAACCCATTATTGAATCCATTCCTGTGGAATGGGGTCACTGTCCGTAGGGGTTGATTACCATATAGCCAGGCCCTAATTACCGAAACAGTTTACTCAGATAACAAATTTCCCATCAACACAGCAACTTTGCTATACTCACCTGCTGGTAAGCCTACCGTGCTTCATTCTTCCTCATATCATGTCAACATGTTTTGTTTAAGAATGATGGAGCTTGATAATAACTTTGTCACATTCGTCCCCTTTTCAATAAGAAATTTGATTGCGTAAACAAATTTCTTTAATTTGAATAAGAAATCTACCAACTTTTATCATAATAGAGAAAACAACATACTTCTAAAATATATTTTAGATTGTTTATTAAAATAAAATTAACTTAAAATAATCTCTTGTGCTCTACTTGGTCGAAGAAATGGGTTTTCGTATCCTCTGCCGTATTATTACATCTAAACCTAATATGAATGGTTGGTGTAGAGGAAACTTATCTAAAGATGTTCTCCCAACCTCAGCTTTAGCCGACACCATTTCGTAACTCAGCAAATGATTAGCTTACCTAACCTTTTTCATTCTCACATAAATAAACATTGATGCGTTCAGTTCTTCATAAATTATACAAAGGTGGTATTCCAAAAACCACCCACCCTCCGCTTTGTTTTAAAATTTTGCAGTATTTCAGCGTACAATAAAACATACCTGAATGTGTCATTCCTTTTCTAGTTGTGAAATGTAAAAGGTCAACAGGGCCTGTAATTCACAACATATCTGTAAGTGACGCAAAGATACTCCTTGTCTTCATTTTCGGATGTATTTTTTTCAGATTTGTTGAATCATGTGTTACTTCATTTCCACATCAATTATTATCATTTTGGAATGATAACATTACTCACATGTCAACTGCGGGGTGAAAAATCAAATATTTTTCAATATATCAAATCTCAATTTTGAAGTTTAAGTCATCACACCAAATTGTCATACCCTTTGTCCACATTTAAAACCATTTCAAAAATAGTTTATATGTATCCTCTGTACACACAAGTAATTTTAGAAAATAATTTTCTAGCATTATGAACATAGGTAATGTGTAGTTACAGAAATGATGTCAAACATTCTTAAAGTCATTTTAATGAAAAATAGATGTTTATAATATACACTAACTTTAAAATAAGGATGTTGTATGTGAATATGACAACATATGATATACTTGTAATAATAGGTAGAGGTAATTTAGCATTAAGTAATGTTATATATGATATGGAAATAGCCATACCTGGTAATAGGCCATAATGCAACAGTGTTGGAAGTATTCATATAAAAAAGTTAATGTTCTCCGTTAACGTAAATTATAATATAATATTTTGTAAGTAAGCAGAGTTGCCGATATTTGTGTGTGGTTAACTAGTTATCTGGTTCCTATCAATTAACCTGCCATAACAAAATAGTTCTGCATAAAATGTGTTATATGAATTACAAAAATGTATATTTACATGAACACTAGTTGACTATGCCTTTTGTTGTCAGATATGCCTAAGGTATATGGTATTTAAATATGCAGGTGTTCAATAATTTAGTACCAATCTTATTATACATATTAAATATAAAGTGTAGACATTGGCAAGGGTGCCCTTTTGGCCTTTATTTATTTGAATAATACATGTGCAGGCACAATGAGGAATGCCACCAGATTTTACTGTAATTTTATGTTTACAAAGTGTTCCACAAAGACCAATATAGTTATTATGTTAGTCCCTATTAAACAACTTTTGATAAAACATTTGGATATTGACTTGCAAAATAAAGAGACATTGGCTTATTGAGTGTTAATGCATTGTTATGCTGAACTTGTTGATGCTGACGGTTTTATTTTTCTCATGCTCTATGATAACAATTATTCATTGACAAGTAATTTTAAAATGCTGGCAAAACACAACAAATATTTAGATTTGATAAAAAATAAGGAAAAAACATATTGTTTAGACTATTTCTGCATCATAGATTATAATATTTTCTAAAACTAACATCAAACTATATATACACCTTATAATGATCAAATAATTATGTAACTAAGCTGTGCATTACCCCTTTAAGTTTTTTTTATGTGAAGTGGAGACACTTTTATCAAATCCAAAATTTTGCACCATTATCGTTTAAGTAGTTCGAAAACTATTTTTCCGGTTTTTAATTCTTTTCAAATTTTATCTAGGGATAGAACACATATTGAAGCTAATTTTAAGTAAATCAAAATGGTGGACAAAACTTGTATCATACAAAGTTTTTTTTTTATATTTTTGGCGATAGCCTAGTTTTGAAAATGTAAAGCATCCACTATTTGCCCCCTTAAACTATCGCTATACCAATACACCAATACAAATTCGAAATGAGAAATATTGAATCATGTTTCAGGAAGGTAACAAAATAAGAAGTTATGAAAAGTCATTGACTCATGTTTTGGCATATGGTCAGTTTTCTGAGCATGTGGGCCCTCTGGGCCTTTTTAATCTAAAAGTCAAGTGTATATTTTGTACATTTACAGTACTAAAACATGCAAAGTTTGAAAGAAATCTGGGTGTGGGTAGTTTCTATGGGAAATGTAACAATAGCTGGAACCCTACCTTTATACATTACTTGTTTCTTAACATTTATAATTCCAATTGCCACTAAAACCTTTACTGAAATAATAATTATTACTTTTTAGCTCACCTGGCCCGTCCATTTTCAAGGTCACATGGGTCAATTGTCTTAAAAAAATCTTTATACAACTTCTTCTGAATAACTTAGAGGCCTAGGCTTATGATATTTGGCCAGTAGCATGCTGGGATAAAGGGCTACCTATTTTGTTCAAATGAATGACCTTGACTTATATTCAAGGTCACAGGGGTCAAATATGTTAAAAACATTTAAACAACTTCTTCTTAATAATTTAGAGGCCTAGGCTTATGATATTTGGCCAGTAACATGCTAGAATAAAGGGCTACCAAGTTTGTTCAAATAAATGACCTTGACTTATATTCAAGGTCACAGGGGTCAAATATGTAAAAAAAACCCACTAAAACAACTTCTTCTGAATAACAAAGAGGCATAGGGTTAAAGTATTTGACCAGTAGCATGCTAGAATAAAGGGCTACCTATTTTGTTCAAATGAATGACCTTGACTTATATTCAAGGTCACAGGGGTCAAATATGTTAAAAAACATTTAAACAACTTCTTCTCAATAACCAAAAGGCCTAGGATGATGCTATTTGGCCAGTAGCATGCTGTGATAAAGGGCTACCAAGTTTGTTCGAATAAATGGCCTTGACTTATATTCAAGGTCACAGGGGTCAAATATGTAAAAAAATAATTAAACAACTGCTTCTGAATAACTAAGAGGCCTAGGGTTAAGGTATTTGACCAGTAGCATGCTGGGATGAAGGGCTACCGATTTTGTTCAAATGAATGACCTTGACTTACATTTAAGGACACAGGGGTCAAATATGTTTAAAACCTTAAAACAACTTCTTTTGAATAACTAAGAGGCATAGGGTTACGATATTTGGCAAGTAGGATGCTGGGATCAAGGGCAACCAAGTTTATTCAAATGAATGATCTTTACTTATATTCAAGGTCACTGGGGTCAGATATGTTTAAAACTTTTATTCAAAAGACTTCTTCTAAATTAGCCAAAGGCCAAGGGTGATGACATTTTGTCATTTACAGGCTGGGATGAAGGGCTACCAATTTTGTCAAAATGAATGACCTTCGTCCATAATCGAGGTCACAGTGGTCAATATAGTTTAAATCTTTAAATGACTTGTTTTGTATAACCAATAGGTCCAGGGCTATGATATTTGGCCAAAAGCATGCTGGGTTGGAAGACTTTAAACTCTGTTCAACATAATGTCCTTGATCGACATTCAAGGTCACAGGCGTCATATGTTTAAATCTTTTAATAGGTTCTTGTGAATTAAGCACTGATATTCTGCCTGTAGCTGTATTTTAGTCCACTTTTAAGATTACAAGTTTGCGATTAATACCAGGTGAGCGATTCAGGCCCATTGGGCTTCTTGTTTATCATTCAATCTAATGACACTTCTTTGTTTTCTATTTTGAATACACGTTGAATATCCCATTATTGGGCAAGAGATTGAATCTCACGTGACGTATCGCGATTAGTCCTTTCTTTTAACTCGATTAAGGTAATGAAAATATAATATGATAACTTTCAATTTCCTCATCAACTGCCATTTAATCTGAACTATCTTCACTTCTCATGTAATTTAGGTTAGCATCTTGCTCCATATCGTTACTTGAACTATCCTGTTCTTGCGACTTTAGTCTGGATTTTTCTATCTCTTAAACGATTGGTTCTCAATTAAAGAAATGTCATCCTCATCTGATGAATTATCCCTTTACTGTCGGGATCTCTTTGTTATTCTGTCAAGGGGTGGTAGCTTAGTTTTATCTGAACTTGCCTCTGATCAGAACTATCTGCTGGTTGTACTAAAAAATGCGGTTTTCTAATTCGTCGGGTGGAAGTTCCTGTGAATACACAGGGTCTCATACTTAAAATTTAATTTCTTTACTATTCTGAAGTAAGTTGTCAATTGGTAATACAACGTCACGGTTGTAAAGCAAATCAAATGGAAAAACTTATGACGGTTCATTGATATTGAATCTAACTGCAGCCAAAGTATGATTTAGATACATGTCACATGTGATCGTGACATTTTTAAGTGTCTTTGCCAAATTATTATAAAGAGTTCCGTGAAATCTTTCAACTTTTGCATTAGTATGTGGGTGGTAATACGAAGTTGGTGCATGACTTCAATGCTTCTTACGTCGCTTTCATAACCCTGTTAACATTTTCCGTCCCGTTAATTGTAAGGATTTGTAATGGACAGCCAAATCAAGGTACAATATGTTCTAAGAGTAAGTGGGCAACAATTTCTGCTGATTTATCAGGAACAGCAAAAGCCTCTGGCCTTTTTCAATCTGGAGAAAACTTCCACAGTGTGAGCCAAATGTTCCGCTGCTGTTTTTGAGTAAATTAAAACATCATCCAAATAAGCTATAGCAAATTGATCTAAATCCTGTAAAACTCCAGACATGAGTTCTTAAAATACAGCTGGTACATTTGATAACCCAAAGGGCATTACATTAAATTGGAATAGTCCCGTATGACACGCAAAGGCTGTCTTTTCTTTGTCTTCATGTTCCATAAAATTTTCCCAATAGTCTAATTTTAAGTCTAGCGTCGTGAAATATTATGCATTTGGTAACTAAGCAAGAATGCCATATATCACCTCAATGTTTTGTTTTTATTTTGTTCAACGCCCTAAAGTCAACACAGAATCTTTTTGGGTCATTTTTCTTATCAACTATCACAACTGGAAAATCCCTATGTGTTTTTGCGTGCAACAAGTCGTCAACAGTTTTGTCAATAACCGCCCTCTGCGTAAGTGGTGTCCTGTAAGCTCCGACCTATTGTCACCTGTATTATTTTTTTTATCTAAAACGTATCTGTATTACCTTATTAGGGATTTTCACCAACTGGTGAAATGACCTATTGTTTTTGTTATGTTTCTTATTCTTATAAGGGCTTTTCAACAACTGGTGAAAAGACCTATTGTTTTTGTTGTTTCTTGTGATTCTTATTATTCTTCCGTTTTTTGTGGAGTCTGTATCTTTTGATTGATAAAACATAGGTTTATAGTCTTTTAGTTATGTTGTAGGCCAAGGTCTGAATATGTTCTAGGAATATTTTTAAGTAGGTCAAAAATCCAATATGGCCGCTATCACGTCATAGGTTAAAATCTTTAAAACCGCTTTAACTCGAAAACCGTTGATTGTACAGAATTTATGAAAGTATACTATTTGCAGATAATTTCTATATCTAACTTTTTTTGATACATGTTAATGCAAAATATTTCAAATAAAAAAGTTCGCTGTTGGTCAAAGTACACCAATTTAAAAAAAAAACCCATTAATTTTCATTTTTTTCTCCTCAATTCTCCTACAGATCGTTGTACAATGCCGTTTTGATGAATTTTTCTGTTACATTAACCATTATTGTTGTATGCCATTTTGAATATTTCCATTGATCTTTTAAAATGCTGACAATGTGTTAAAACTTGTTTTACTGCAATATCGAAGACAAATATTTCGTTTACTTGTTATTGAAAAGGTTTTCCCAGATGTCTTCTAACATTTGGTAACATTTTCAACTTCATCGAAAAAAAAAATGGCCGCCATGACGTCATATCCGATTTTTTTCTAACTGCAATACCTCAATTACAATTTACTATATTTAATTCATCTTTGGATATGTTGTGCAGAATAACAAATAAATAAATTTTCTCCGGAAACATTTTCGGTTTCCGGTTCGGTACGGGTCAAAGCTCGAATTTGTAATTTTGTGAAACAAACTTCAAAAACTCCTTCTAAATAACCAAGCAACCCAAGGTCATAATATTTGGTAAATATCATGATCGAGCGATGGAATATCAAGTTTAATATTATGAAATACCTTTACCCATGTTCAAGGTCACTGGGGTCAATTATGTTAAAATCTTCAAAAGAATCATGCTCAGTAACGGAAATGCCCAGGGTATTTATATTTGGTCTTTAGTATGCTGGGCGGATGGGCTACCAAGTGCTTGCACAAGAATGACCATTAAAGGATAACTCTTTTTCCGGTAGGGGTCAAAGTTCATACGGTCATTTTGTGAAACAAACTTCAAAAAACTTCTTCTCAATAACCGAGTAATCCAAGATCATAATATTTATTAAAGCAATGGACTCTCAAGTTTGATAATATGAATGACATTGACCCAATGTTCAAGGTCACTGGGGTCATTTATGTTAAAATTTTCAACAACAGAAATGCCCAGGGTATTGATTTTTGGTCTATAGTATGCTGGGGAATGGGCTACACTGTACCAAGTATATGTACAAGAATGACCATTACAGGTCAACTTCCGTTTTTCGGTAGGGGTCAATGTTCGAATGTAAATTCTGTGAAACAAATATTCTAATTGCAGTACTTCATTAATGGGTAAACGTATTAAACTCATCTTTGGATATGTTGTGCAGAATAACAAATAGATTCACGGTTTAACGTGTGTCTTTATGAAGGTTAAAATTAAATACCTCTATAAGGATGAACAAGGCAACCAAACATCACTTATTATTGTTATTTAGTAAATTAATTATTGTTAAAATATTGAAATCCTTAAACCTCTCATGTACTGCTTGATTATTGACAATACTACGTAAGCAAATATGCCATTGAAATTGTACTATATTATTCCTGAGAACTAAATATTTCTCTCTAATTCAGATTTGACTATAGCTATTATTTACAAAACAGTATTGATTTGAAAATACATCCTGTTTCAAACACAGGAAGTTTCAGATTCTACAAGCGAAGAAGACATAGACGATTGGCCAAGATATCAGTACGGGTACAGTTCAGAAGTAAGCATTTTACTCGAATAATCAAGATAAGTTCTTGATCCTAAAATCCCGAAGGAATTTAGCAAACCTCACGGACAGAAGTACATGTATAATTCAAAAGCGAGTATGTCGCCACAATAACTGGTACCTGTTTATCAATTTCATCGCAAACTTGAGTCATCAGATTTAAACAACCTTCTTTATATTCATTGAACGAAAAAAGGAATTGGGGATATATTTGTGTTTTCTCAATTCATTAATATCAAAAGGCTTTTAACTCAAAATTAAAAACAAAATGACTAAAAGTTGGTCTACCAGGCGATGATGCAATCATGGCGAGGGTTATTTTTTAAGGGTCTCTACGTAAGTTTTTACATTGCTCATACTTTGCCTTGGTTGTATACAAAGAATTGGTATGAATGCGGAAAAAAATATGAAAATGATACGATTGACAAAATACGATCGCAAAAAAATCCTTATATACAATTAGGAAAAGGATCTAGTACCAAAACATGTTTGGAACATATCAAAGTGTTTTGTTTGTTCTGATTTCTTGCAGGCTTTTCTTTTATATATTGACCATTACAGAACAATCGATTGACAAGTTACCCTATATAGGGATATGTTATTGTTATTGTGTTCATGTATCACTTAGTTTGTCACGTGTTAAAACATAGTGTTAAAGTTGTTTTTATTCCTTAGGGAACTGATGAACTGATGTTGACGTTACCTTCTGGTGATATAGACAAAATTAGAAGCCTATTAGAGCAAGGTGCAGATCCTAATGAGGTAATGTAGAGGATACATTTGATCATAGTTTAATTCAATTTCTTCAATTGGTGAAATTCAATATTTATTTTGCTTTTTAGCTCACCTGGCCCGAAGGGAAAAGTGAACTTTTGCCCTTGCGCGGAGTCCGTTGTCTGGCGTCAATATTTTACTTTCGACAACTGCTTAATAATCAAAAGGCCTAGGGTGCTGATATTTGCATATCAGAAAACTGGGATAAAGGGCTACCAAGTGTGTTCAAATACATGACCTTCATTCATATTCAAAGTCACAGGGGTCAAATATGTTAAACACTTTAAACAACTCCTTTTGAATAACCAAAATGTCCATGGTGATGATATTTTCCAAGTAGCATGCTGGGATGAAGGGCCACACAGTTTGTTCAAATGAATGACCTTCATTCATATTCAAGGTCACATCGGTAAGTTGTCAAAAACAAACTTTAAACGACTTCTTCAGAATAACTATAAGAACCAGGATTATGATATATGGCCTGTAGCGTACTATGATGAAGGGCTACCAAGTTTATTAAAATGAATTACCTTGACGTATATTTAAGGTCAAAGGAGTCATAATTCTTTAAAATATTCAAACGAATTTTCCTGAAAAACTAAAATGCCAAGGGTGATGATATTTAGCCCGTAACATGCTTGGATAAAGGGCTATCAATATTGTTCAAACGAATGACCTTGACCTTTATTCAAGGTCACAGTTATCAAATATGTTCAAAATCTTTGAACAATTTCTTCGGAATAACCAAAAATATCAGGGTGGTGAGAGATGGCCAGTAGCATGCTAGAATAAAAGGCTACCAAGTTTGTTAAAATCAATAACCTTCATTTGTATTCAAGGTCACAGAGGTAAAATATGTTTAAAAACTTTAAAACACTTCTTTTTAATAACCTAAAGGCCGAAGGTGATGATATCTGGCCAGTAGTATGCTGGGTTGAAGGGCTACAAAGTGTGTTCACATAACTGACGTTGAATCAAAGTCAACGTCACATGGGCCAAATTTGTTTAAAATCTTTAAACGACTTCTTCTGAATAACCCTTAGGCCCAGAATGTTGATATTTGATCGACTTTTGCCCACTTTCTAGGTCACTTTTGGTCAGATATGTATAAACCTTTACACGAGTTAATCTAATTTATCAAAAGGTCTATGGTGGTGATATTTGGCAAGTTGCATGCTGAGATGAAGGGCTATAATGTTTTTGCAACGTAATGACCTTGTTTGACTTTCCAGGTCACATGGGTTAAATGTTTCAAAATCTTTAATCTTTTAAATCAACAGCTGATGAAATGATTAACTTTTGTAAGTTTCTAACCACCATTATTAGGCAGGGCCGTTGAAATCGGCCTTCGCCCTCGGTCTGTTGTATGTCGTCTGTCTCCATCCGTCCGTCCGTCTTTTCACAATTATTGTCAACATAATGTCTGCAGCGATATTTCTTGAATTTCAAATGTTGGTCCCGTGCGGTCTTTAGTTTTGTATATCGAATATCCTGTAAAACCTAAAACCAAAGTGATCGACGGCCATCTATCTTGAATTTGAAGAGTTAAAGCTTTCAACACTGATGCTAAAAGCTATTTCTTGCGTCCCTTGATGCCCGCAGTTTTCATTCTGTGGAAAACCAAGATGATTGCTTAAAAGCTATCAAGGATTTGGACAGTCCCCGGTTGTTTCCCCAGACAAATCAGTCTCAAATTACAAGTATAAAATTACTTTAAATAGTCACAAACAGCAGTATTTATCTGTATCAAAGTTAAAACCAGATGAAGTTACTATTGACATGACGCAACCAAGGCGAAAAGAGAGAAGAAAAGGCAAAGAACAATCTTATACAGATCGAAGGATATATGAATGATAAATGATATCATATGCGTTATGCAAATTTATAACAAAGGGGAAATCAATTCATTATCTATACGGTTATACGTAATCTAACAATTAATATTTTGTCCTTAGTAAACGTTTATATTTATATCTCCCCCTTCTTCAACTTACTAAACCTAAATTGTATTTTGATCCTATTAAGGATGTCAAGTAGCATTTTGATCGGATATCATGTGTTCTGTTTTTATACCATCCTTTAACGGAACTGCCCTATTAATTGTCTACGGGCAATTACGAATTGTTTTTATCTAAAAATATGGTATATACCAACGAGTTACCTTATTTTTACAATGGCCGTCAGTGCACACATTTCACAATTTCACAGTTTTGTCTGCTATAAACAAAATTGTTATTGATGTCTATTTTATCAACAATATATTCGATCAAGCAATTAACAATAAAAACCAGTGATTGAATCGATAGCATTAATGTTAATATTTTCACAAATTTAGAAATAATGTCTCACACTTTTTTATTATCACAAATATGCATTTATCTATATCAATTTGCCTTAAATAATATTAATAAAATCTATTTTACCAATAATTCAATGCTTATCTGTCAAGAAATCACACACAATTTGACACATATTTGAAAGGTCACAATTTCAATAGTTTAAAATGCTTTGATGCACACCTTTCATGAAAGTGTTATCTTTCTTGAATTTTGCTTACTGATACGGTTAATTTTGTGCAATCTGATGCTTTTTTAAAAAGAAACAGCAGATCATAACTGTACCGACAACTATATAAATCATATAAAATCCACATAAACAGTTTACCTATCCTATTTATTTAATTCAATACAATCTATTAATCTCTCTCTATACATACATCTACAATCATGATGACTTTGGAAGAAAGAAAGATTACTATTTGACTTTTCCTATTGGTCACACAATACATAGAATGCAACAAGGGGAGATAGTCCTCTGCTTGACTAATAACAACAATATTCATCTAAACTAGATAACGGATATGATCCAAATCTACCTACTTCAATATACAGAAACAGAATATTGTCAAGACAAAAAATCTGACTAGGATACATCTATAACAATTATACATTTGTTAAAACCATAGATAAAATACTGCTTACCCTAACTATGGGTAGAGGGTCATGTGCTGATCCATTTTATATTGAATCAGTCCAATCTATATGCATGAAAATATGCAGTCTGATCCTTTACTGTAATATCAAATGAAATTACTATGTCAGAATAATATAACTATGTTTACAACTATGGACTTAGTCTTAACAAAAACTGAGAGTTTAGGTTTCATCCATATTTTAGCCATATTTCAGAACAATACATTTTAATATGAAAAGTATCAAATCTAAACAAAACGTAAAATTATACAGTATTCTTAAAAAAGATGTATTAAAAGAAATCAGTCATTCTTATTCTGAGTTACTCTGGGTTTTTCAATTATACCATTTACCAAAAATCCTAGATTAGTAATACATTAAACCTACACATTTTAGAACTAATATATCAATATCAGAGAGTTTATGAAATATATAAAATAAGAAACATACTATTCTAAATGATATTGTTTTCCCAATTATAGCCAGAGCTAGAATAAAACAACTAGTCCTCTCGAAAGGTCTCTTTCTTCTCGTTGGGTGGGAAGTTCTTATATAGGAACTTTCCCTCCAAAAAGTATCAACCAATGAAACGTCGGGTCGTGCAGTCAAAGGTCATGTTAGTATTGCACGTTACCTACAGATACGTGTGGACAATACATGGACAGGAACAACACAAAGACAACTCAGTCACATGACTTTGCGCACTCACACAGAACCAATGTAGGTTATTATATATATATATATATATACTATAGTGGAGTTACAGGGGCTACAGGTAAAGTATACCTGTTGTCACTATACACATTATAAATCAGTGGTCCATATGTAGTGACTGCTGCTATACAATGAACAGAAAGAAAATAGAAATATAACAATACAAATCATAATCAAAACTTACTTAAAGCAGGTGATATTTAATTTACATGGGTACATACACCTCCTTCTTAGGAAAGACGTCATTGTCTTTACTTCTTGTCCTCTGATCCAGTGATCGGGTTTCCACGTATGATGACGCTTAACAATGCATCAGCAAGCCTGTTTGATGCAGTATCCAATGTCCCATCCTTGGCAAGGGTTTTGATATAATTTGCGCGTATCAGCCAATCCGGTTCAGGTATAAAACAGGTTTGCAAATGACATACTCTCAAGTTCTCTGCAATGCAGGTGGTTCCCTGCGACGACATCCTCGTCTTAACTGGAGACTCAGCTACAGTACCGACGAATCTCTCTCGGACCCGGACTCTGCAGCGTCCTGTTCATCCCGATGTCATGTAGTGAGTCCTCCTGATCCTCATTCCCGGCTTCCTCACTTTGGTCAGCATCTATCTGGATACTATCTGTGGATGAAATGGGTAATGACAACAGGCTCTGTTCCGCCACTACTGCATCCTTGAGCTCTAGTGTAACAGGAATTTCCTCATCAGACTCACTATCAGAGTGCTAACTGGAAAGAGAGTTGGTAACTTTCCTGTCAAATGATGTTCATGGAGTTCCTGTTCTTGGAGTAGGTTTCGGTCCTGACATCTTTCTTGGTAGTGGTCTAGGTGCTCTTTCTTCTGGCAGTACATCAGGAGTAAACGATGGGCAGTAACATACTCTTATGAAGAGTCCTTATTCTACCATAACCAGTTCATTTTGTACCTTGTAAACAGGAATGTCTTTGTTAGGTTGTTTGAGGAAAATATAAATGTCATCCTCCAAGCGGTTGGCAATCTTATGTTTTCCATCCCAGGCTATAACTTTGACAAGTACTCGATCGCCAGTCTGTACCACAGCACCTCTAGTCTTTCTATCGTAATACTTTTTCTGTTTCCACTTAGCCTTCTCTGTATATTCCGAGGCAATTTTATATGCTTCTTTCCGTCGTGTCTTCAGTCCCTCATCGTAGTCGGTTACTGTAGGTAACTGTTGGTTTGTTTCCACCCCAAAAGCCAGGTCAATAGATAGTCGAGGCTCCCTTCCAAACATCTAAAAGGAAACGGGACTGGTTTGTCGTCTCATGTCGTGTGCAATTGT